AATTTTATCATTCTGAGAAATGCATTTAAACAATAATATTAAATATTGTAATATAATGGTACAGATTGTGTTTTAATTCACGATCAGCTTGTTTCGATTTTTTCTTTCTCTTTCAAGACAAAGCCATGTTTTTAAACAAGACGATTCAGCTTTTTAAATGAACAGATTTGTGAATGTAATTCATTGTCTATATACCATGCCCACCGCCTTCAAAAATTCATGTACCTTCCCAAAAACCTTGAAAACACCGAAAAATAGTTCTATAATGTTCATAAATATTTCTTAATTAAAGTAACTTATGCCAACTTGATTCTAGTTTCGAAATAAATCTTGTTTTTCCTGAACGAACTGGAGGCTTTGGGGGTTTCAGACGGATGTTTTAAGTTTTGAATTTGAGGGTACTTTGCATGAAGCCTAAAACATTTTTTCAAAATTTTCTCAAAACTGGCCCAACATTTTGTGATTAAATTTTGTACTCGAATAGCATTAAAGACGCTTAAGAGAACTGTGCAGGTCTCATGTTCGACTAAGGGTAACTTAGTAGTATGGCTGACGGCGAGTTATCTCGGAGGGCCTGAATTTGAGTCATGGTGCAGAAAATAATTTTTGCTGGTTGAAATCACTTTTGCTTGTTTATATAGTATAACGTATCTGAGTAGCTTTAAATAATGCGAGCATATATGTGCTATTGTAACACTACTATTTGTTTTTAAATTTTATCACTAGTGTACCCGGCAATGCTTTGCTGTTGTAATGTATTTCACTTCACACGATACTGGTCATGTGATTGCTACAATTAACAAACATTTTAATGAAAGACTTTCTCACAAATATGGGTTTGATCTATGTCCTGGTTTGGATATGTTTGTCAAGTGTTCTATTGTTAAAACGTTCTCCCTCAAGTTTGGGCATGCATTCGCTATGACACTGTCTTGGAGAAATTTGATTTACTTATCACAGATAACGTTCAAGTAATAATTGCGACCGATATTTCACAATCACGGGGGCAAAATATGCTGCGAAGACACATTTAATACTTGAGGGTGCGGCGGGCTGCATAGAGCTTGCATGCAATGTGGTCAGGGGCGCTTGAGTCAACATAAATGTTCTAGATTTTAAATTACCAGATGAACGTTAAAATAAAGTTGTTCACGGTATTATCAAAGTTGTTTTGAAACTGAAATTAAACTCTGAAGTACACATTTACCCCAGACTTGGGGGAAATGTGTTCTGAACTTGGAATTGCTATAAGATCTAGCTGTTTCGTTGTTTGGGCAAACTGTGTACAAAAGAGCTGTTAAAGCGAACAAAACCGTATGGGAATTTTTTTCTTGTTTTTTTGGGGAGGGGGCTGACAAGACTTTTGCTTTCAACCTTTCTTTTTCACTGTGTTACCAATTAAATGGATGAAAAACCAACTGAATTAGTAGATGAGAAGGATCAATGAAATGTATTAGTAATCATAAAATTAGTAATAATAATTCTTCTCACCCATACGTTACATACAGTTTTTACTGTTTTTAGACTAAATGAATCAAATTAAAAGAAAAATTATGTTAATAAATTTAAAATGTATTTAAATCAATGTAAATCTTAATACAATACAAAATTGAAGTACAAGCACAAGTCAGAATCCAAAACGAAAATGTGAGAAGACGGATGGGAAATAAATGCCGCTCCAATTTTGTAGGAAGAAAACTAAACTGGAATGGTCAAGACACCTTCCGACACTTGGCTCTGGAAGCTTGCTTATTGTGTCCTCGCGAGCCGTTTCCCTCGTCGCTCTGAGGGGGTAACAAAAGCGTGTTCTCCTCTTTTCTTTATATATTGAACAATTGGCATTAGTCCTTCAAATGCTATTACTTTACCAACGTGGTGTTTAATCGTTTCGTGGAACAAAGAACACTAAAAACCAATTTCCCGTTTCCATTTCCTAACTTCTAGTATCAATATTGTCCGAGAGGTTATTCAATCATACTTCTGAATCACCAGGAAGGTTATCTCTACTACGAAGACTGACTTCGCTAAACCCGATGTCTTTATCTGAAGTTTCAGGGGGTGTTTTCTTATTTTCGGTATGTTTACTAGATGCACAGAAAGAGAGAAAGAGAAACCTACACAAGCTAAAGCTTGTTTTCGGAGTATCTTCAGCAATCCTTCAGTTGTAACTACATCAGCCTCTTCTCTTCTTTGTTACTATCTTCTTCTTCTTCTTCTTCTTGGTAGAGGTTTCCCTTGAAGTCTGTTTCATCATATTAAGATTTGCAAAACTCTCTTTGCTGCAAGTTGCAGTCTTGTTGAGTAGGGACAGAATCAGCCAATGAGAAAGAACTTCCACTTGGATAAGAAACCGAGACGGGGTGAGCCAAAGATGAAATTTCAGCCTGCGGCGAAGGTTGCGAGAAGGTAGAAGAGGACGTTTCTGAAATGTTTTCTTGCGTCAGTTTGCTGATGGCAGTCGAAAATTTCAGATTTAGGATCGAATGTGTCCCTTTTGAACCACATCTCGGTTGAATGGATGAATCCCACAACCTTTGAATCCCTTTTTAATACATCATCTGGAATTTCTATTGATGCTTGCTCCAACATTTTAGGAAGCTCGTTTGCTTACTTTCGACCCATAATTTTTTCTCTGCCAAGAGTGTTTCATCCCATTTAAGCTTCAAGGATCGAAATATCGCCTTGTCTAATGACAACGGAAGGTATGTCGTGTGGGGAGAAAGTCTGAGAATCACATCTTTCAGAGCCTCCCCCAGCACTTCGGGACTGTCGTGGGTGGTGGGCAGGCCTGTCGCGCGCTGGTGTGCCACCCAGGTGCAAGTTTTAGACAAAAATTGGGCCCGTTTTGAGAATTATTTTTTATAAATTCCAGTACGTTTAATAGGAAATTACATGAACTACTCGTTTTTATAAAAAAAAAATATATGACCTTACTTACATATCTAGTTTTTAGAACTGATTTAATTGAAGACATAAATCTCTGCCATCAACATTGTACTCTTGCAGTGTTTTTTGTTGTTTTTTGCAATTTTCGAAAATATAGAGAGTTTCATTTTGCTATGTGCACCGGTTGCATAAATAGGACCAACACCATTTTTACCTCACTTTGCTACGTACGAGAAAAAATGTAGTCGGTTTTGAGACAATAATTGTTAAGAAATTGCTTATATTTCACACAAATTTTCGTGAAAGTTATTCATATTTTCTGAAAATTGCACTTGGCCATATTTCAATATTTGTGTATCCACAAGATTTTATTAAGAAGAATCTCAATCTTCAATATTGTAGTTGTAGAATGTTGCCGAAAATGTGTTTTTGGCAATTCACGAATAATTAGGAACTTGAACGAAAATGAGACTCGCGCCGTCCTTTCAAGAGTTTGCTATCCAAAGACAATGTTCCATAAACAATAGAAGCTATTTGTGAGAAAATTTCCAAAATATTGTTGAGCCTTTATGTAAAGTACTGCAAAAAATCGACATATCCGTTTCAAGCTCGCAGGATCTCGAGTTCCTCCAGATGACGGCATATCAATTTTCAAGAAAACTGAACTGTTTAAGCGCTAGCGTTGACCAGAAACAGATGGAAGGACGGACAGAACAAGGTAGCCCTGTTCTGTTCTGTGACAGGAGAAATATGCACCTTTTTTTTATCTGTGATTATACTTCTCCGTAATTTACTAACTCGCAGGACTAAAAGTGTATTGCTCTTTGATATACATTACACATTTTGTTTCGTTTCATTCAGAGATTTAAATAAGTATTCTAATTTTTGCTGCCCTGGTTCAATGCACCTCTCGAACCAGGGCCATGACGTCACTAATGGTTGGCCATCGAAAATTACCAGAGGTGTAGTTTTTCATCCCAGTTAAGTGTCACGGATCGAATGATAGCTTTGTCTAAAGGCAACAGAAGGTATGCTGAGTGGGAAGCCTGAGAATTACTATATCTTCTTTCAGAGTCTCCGCAACCACGTCGACACTAACGTGGGTGGTTGGTCATCAAACATTTCCAGAGCTTGTCGCTTAGACCACAGTGCAGCAATCAACTGCTTCTGAAATTGTTATCCATTCTTTAGGACTGTGTGTGAGGACCCTGGATATCCTAATCCTGCTGGAGCTAACCTATCACCCCAAATGTTTTTAGCTTTGAATATGAGGGGAGCCTTTTTTTCCTGCTGCACTATAGGCTGGTTGGCAGTACAGTCGTATTTTCTTTGCCGGGATGACCGGGACGTCTGGGTGACCCACTGACGGCGCTGAGTTCCTAGCCGATTGGGATAAAAGACAATGACTTACGACTTGAATTAGTTCAAGGAGATTATTCCATGTTCACCCCCCCTAAAGACTATGAATGTTTTTTTTTCTGGCGGAAGATATTCTGTGAAAAAAATGAATAGAAATCTTACGGAGGAAAATACACATTTTCTCTATTATCTTTCCGGAAATGATTAATACTAAAAAAATGTCCATTAATCATTAAAAAAATAAAATCTATATTTTGCTTTCTTAAATACAAAATACATATAAATACATTGTACACATAAAATATTTTATACATATAAATACAATACATATAAATTCGTAATATACATACCGCAGAGAGTTAATTGTAATTGAAGAAAATAAGATTTCAAAGTTTCGAAAATACGTGTTTTCCGAGACCCCGATAGCATAAATAAAAAAATTGAAAGTAGTAGGTATAAAAAATTAGAAATACGAATAATTATCAATGGAAACATATGTAAAAAAAGGAAATGATGCGGTAATGTTCTTAATTTCAATATTACATTTTCGTGATTGGTATAAGCTTTACATAAAATTTTATAATTTATTTATTCTCGCGTCACAGAGTAACGCATCGAGAAAATACCTCTGCATCAGAGTATCTAAAATTTTTGTTGGTAAATTTTATTACCATTCCAGAATGGAACGAAAGTAAAGAAATAATCGCTGGTCATCAGAAGCATGTTTATTCCATGTTGGTGTTTACACGATTTTACTTCATCCATGCAGTAGTCTTGCCTGTATCAAATCCATCATCTGCTTGCACCAAACTTTCATACAACCCTTGAATTTTCGTCATAGGGAAAGGAGATGTAGATCTTTCTGAAAGTGTATTATCAATTTCAAGCGAAGATTTTTCATTGAAGGCCTCTGAAAGGAAAAAGAAGAAACAATGTACATTTGACTTGTTATTGTTGTTTAAAGTGAATGGACACAGACGCAAATGAATTGTTGACTGACCTGTACTCTCATAAGTATTTGGATCATAAACCCCGGGAAGTTGTTTCTGATTGTGAATATCATTGACTTCTGAAGTGATTTCCAATTCATTTTGTCCTTCAGTAGCCACTTCTTCTTGTACCAATTTCTGATGAGATGTTACAGCATTATCTTGGGTGAGTGCTTCAGCAATTTCTTTGCCAGCTTTTTCTGAGTTGAACTTGTTCTCGTACTGAGAGGCCGAGTCTCCACCACCCTGATTGCCAATTTCTGGGGCAAGCACTTTACTATAACAATTACAACAATGTATTTTATGCTGTTTTCTTCGAGCCTCTAATGCTGATATACATTTTGTAGAAGTTCTATAATTCTGAGACATAATATCCTTTTTAAAACTTAATATTTTCAACTTCAATATTTTAATCCTCACATGACATGCCCTTTTTGAAATTAGTAATAATGGTGAATAAATTGACAGGATTTTGCAAGTCACATCTATTATAACAAAGTGAAACTGTTTGTAAACATGTCACTGCGTGTCAGAAAAAAATAGTACCACTAGTGTGATTGCTTGGCCCAAATACTTTTCAACGATAAAAATCCAACGTAGCGTAGTTGCGAGTCAAAATTACCCCAAATTTTTCTCTTTCTTCAAAACAAAGAAAATATAAATTTGCTTTGGAGTATATGTAGCCTTACTAAAGCTGATTATCCATTGTTAAAATCAATGTATCAAGTAAACTGAGAGCAGACATCTGTAATTGCCCACGTGCAGAAGTATAACGTGTGTTAGAAAAAATAATTAATGTAGACTATTACTGGTAAACCTCAGGCAAAACTGAGAGTCGGAGAGATGTCTCTACCTACTGCAATTTGCTAATTTTCTGTGGGTTTTGTGAGGGAATTTCAACGGGCTTTTCATGCTTTCATAAAAAGTTCTTCTCGGTCATTCGCTTTGTGTTTGGATTCACTTCGAGAAACGTCTCGTCTTGGTTTGTGTTCAACACTCTGGGCCTGCTCGGCGCTCTTCCCAGTTTGGGTTCATGGCGCTAGCGTGGGGTAGATAGTAGGAAAGGGGGAGGGGGGAGGTGGGGAGGAATCCCTCACTACCCCGTACTTGACGTTGTTCGGAGAGAGGGGAAGGGGAAGGGGAAGGGAGGGAGAGAAGAGGGGGGAACAACAGATAGAAAAGAGAGTAGGGTGTTATTTACGTGGGAATTTGTGGCCGGTATCGGGGGGGTGAGAGAAACGTTGCCAAGTGCTTCCAAGACTCAACGGTCGCGCGGGTTAGAGGAGGTCAACCCTATTTCCTCACACGAAGTTTTCAAACGGAGCGTAGATTATTGAGAATAGGTCCTACGGCTCTATTCGGAGATTTCGGTGAATCTCCCACGTGTTTTAATTGCCTGAGGGATTTGAGTTCTCGAAAACTTCCAGAGCATTTCGAATAGGCTCATTTGATTTGTCCCCGCCTGTATACACAAACCAAAATTCGCTTGTTTCCGCGAATCAGCAAGATTTTTAGAGTTGCACAACACTCTGTGATACACAAGTGTGCCGCTCGCCATTTACACGCATTAAGAAATTTGTTCTGTTTAAGGCAATCTCGACAACTGTATGTGGTACGTGTTATATCTGCATATCTGTAATGGAGCGGTAATCGCATAAGTATATTCATATTGTTCTCGAACACACGAGTTACGAGTTATGTATAAACTGTGAACTTTACCGTACGACTGTTGATGGCATCATGATCTCTGTGTCCGTGTTCAATCCAAAGAGTTGCGTGCGCAAAATACTCGTAACTCCACTGTGCTGACCCGTCGTGTATTTCCTGTTACACGTGTCTGGGTCCAGGCACGCTCTGGTAGGTCTACCAGTCAGACGGTTCGACAACAATCAGTATCGCGAAAACTTTGCTATCAAAACTAGCCTTGTAAAGTGCAATGTGTTCTGTTTGCAGAAACCGTGATGCAACGCTTGTGAATAACTGTCCTTTAATGTTTATCTCTGTGTGTGCGTATGTTGTACGGAATATTTTATTACATACATTTCATTGTAATCAATCTACTGAACTATCTTGTGGTTTCAGCTGTTTGTGAGAAATTTCCTTTCCATGCAACATTTTCAACATACATCGCACTTTGCTGAATAATTACTACAAATCATATCGAAACAACTATTGAAATAGTATATAGAATGATATTAGACACATTCTAGGGGGGAAACTGAGACAGTACTCCTAACGTTATCACGTCGAAAATGGATTTCATTTATTCCCCTACTTGAATTTGGCGTCAAAATTGATTGACTACATTCCTTCAAATTCAATTTTTTTTCTCCGTCTCTTCAACTTTTTTCAGCCTGATACATGCAATATAAGCCGAGAAAAAAACAAAAGATGAAAGACACGTTTCTCATTGCCTCTCTCTCTAATGGATTGTCCTAGGAGGATGATTTTTTGGAATCTAGGACATTCTTTTACTCTTTCATATGAGTATCGCGATTATCGATTTGGTTCGGGTCACTTTTTACTCCCTTTGTCCGTTATACCCTTCTGAATGTGATTTTGAAACACGTGGTTTTGTCGTCTTTCGTACACTTAAACTTTGTGCCTTTAAAATATATGACGCGAATAAAAACATTTTTGTTTATTTTAGTAGTTATTTTAATAATTAATTTCTTGTTTTGTTAGCTTCTATAAATCCAAACCTAATAGGTAGGGGAGACCGTTGTACCTTCGAACACTATTTACATTTTAATTTTTATCGAAGCTAGAACCAATTTTTCCGATTATTTCATTGCCCTCCAAACTTTATACTCTGACAAAGTATGTAAATTTCTATCAGAACGAAAGTATAATATTTAGGGAACACAAAATTAAAACCTTAAGAGTCAATTGTTTGTTCATAGGTTCAACAGCCCTTTATATCTGAGAACATGTATCGTTGTACCTACGAACAGCCTTATGAATACCATTTGCATTAGATGTAGATAAAGAAAACTAGCCATATTCTTTTTAACTTCAACAAGTTGAGCACATAAACTTTGGTTACGATTAAACACACCACTTGAGGAGGGCTTGGTTGGCGAGAAATGTTCTACTAATGAAGAGGTGGAAGATGCGCAAATGCCTATACACACGCCAACAAACCTTTTTGGGGACGGAATTATGAAGCTGCCAATAAAGTGGCAAAAATATCTAAATAATTGTGGGAGCTATGTAGAAAAGTAGTCTGCATGGTTTTTTGGTTTTCTAATATTCAATAATGTTTTTGGAAGTGTCTTGTTCATATTTGATTCATCTAATATTTCCAAATGAAAATACGTTCTTTGATTTAATCCTTATTTGAACAAAGGTTAAGAATGTATGAAGATTGATTTGGTTTATGTACTATACATATTTATACAAAAAAGATAACATTACTGCGAAATATATTTCTTACTTTGTTTGCTTTATATGTTCAATGAACATATAAAATCTGCCTAGAGTTTCAAATACAGCGTCGTACGCCTCTTGTTTCATGAGGCAATAACCATTCTTCTCACTATGGGTTTTCAGAATCTTTGTATTCTCTTGAAGATTTGAATTGAGGTTTTCATATTTCGATTCTGTTTTCTTTCCCAAAAATGCTGGAGATGAATTTTGTGTATTCAGTTTTTTGAACTTTTGCCTGAAGGAAGAATTCAAACATTATAAGTAATGAAGATTTTTAATTTGTATTAATTTAAGAGCTTTAAATAAAAAAAACATTCAGAATTGACGAAACTCAGTTTTATTATTAAATGAACTGCGAATATTTAGGTATCACACATCATGGAGTGTTTTATTATTTTGCGAAGATCTTTGTGAATTAAACCAAGGAATACTATGGCAAATAGTAGTGGCGGCTCGTGGCTATTCGCACGTTGGCATGTGCACATCCAAATTAATTCGGTGCATTTTCTCTTAAATATCTCTAAACAAGAGGGGAATACAAGTCTTCTCAGAGCGTTAAAGAAGCACGGAATTTGGAATTTGAAAACACGCGCCCTCCGGAAGCAACGATTGCCAGTCCGCCGCCAGTGCCCTTGTGACACAACCGGGATTTGCGGAGGAGTAGAGCGCGTGGGTTGCTGCCGCGGGGCCGGAGGGGAAAGAGGGAACCACAGTGGCTTCCTGGACGGAAGAAGCATTCGGCTGAGTGCGATTCTTCGGAAGCGAACGCATTGCATTCATACAAATTGTGTTAATTTAATATTATATGCACATTGTCTTATATTTCGAAGTGAGTTGCAATTACAAATCCATTTCGAATTAATAAAAACCCAAATGCATTTTGTAAACGTATGTAGTTGGTTACTTTTTTAATGCATTTTGAAAAACCAAAGTTAGAGTGTTCGTTTTTCTGTCAAGCGTAAAGAAAAAATTGCTAAAAAGAAACAGCGTTGAATTGACTTTGTGTCTCGTCACACAATACAGACTGCAAATTATCTAGATTGTTTTGTGTTCGGTAACTTGCACTTTTAGCCTAAAATTTGTACAGCGAGCTTACGGAAAAAACTCTATAGCAAAAGTGCGAGTAAAAAAGTTTTGAATCAACGTATACAATAGAACTCTAACACCCCTGAACAAAATCCGTGGTGGTAGCAGATATCTTGTGGTAATCCATAATATGGTAAAGGAAAACCCCTGGAAAAACTTCTGGAACGTGCTGTGTAGGTACACGGTAATCCGACTCTAGTAGTAAATATTTCGGAGGGGTCCTTGCCGAGCGAAGTCGAAGCATGTGTTGTGAAAAGAAGTGCGAGCAACCCTCACTGCTGATGAAAGATACCGTTCAGCATGCTATCGGACTTCGTAAGATGATCTGTGTTTCATTGTCGTTATTTATGTAAATGAATATATATGTATGCATGTAATGAATGCCTTTGTGTGTGTGTATGAGATACAGAAGGGGAGAGGGAGGGAGAAAGAAGAGAGATGTTGCACACCTAAAGGCATGATCACGAGCCGCCACTGAAAATTAGTTAAAAAAACTATAGAAAATATTAATAAGAATGTTAAGTGCACAAATGAATCAAATTAGTGTTATAATGTAGTATAATAACATACATTGTTTCTTTCAAACGAGAAACACATCCTCTGGAGGACAGAGCATCTGTAGTGGCCAACTTTATTGCAGTGGAACTTTGGGAAGCAGAACCCCTGATAACATATGTTTAACATGGAAATCCAATATTTAAAATATTTTTCAATGAAATTAATAATAAGAAATAACATCTAAACAATATATAAATATAATGTGTTATTTTCATCAAAATTCAAACTATATTTCTACAGAATGTTCTTTGTGTACTTGGATGGAAATACGCACATGTTCCGTTGTAGTTTGACTACAACTCTTGTTGGAGTGGAGATTTTCTTGTTAATATGCACATCTTTCTTTATTGTGCACTGAGACATACATCTAATGCATTCGACAAGAAATTAAGCCATTAAAAGGCATGTTAAAATAGAAATACAGACTTGATGCAAAATATAATATGGTAGGTAAAAGAAAATAACAGAGGTGTTCACGTCTGATAGTTCGTGTAGCATACCTTTGATTTACAGATTGTAATCCTGCACTTGACAAACTCTTTAAGGAGGCATTACGCTTTGAGTTGCACATTACACTTGGTCTTGAACGCAATGTTAAGTTTGACGGTGTGTAAGTCAGTTGAGATCGTGGGATAATCCAGTTATACTACAATGTACACAAAAATATCTTCAGAAATAGAAAATAGAAAATAAATCCCAAAAATTACAATAAAATAATAAATACCTCATGTGCATCTTTGTTGGCATTGTTATGAAAGAGTTTCACCATAATTTTGTGCAGAAGTGCATCATCAATATATCTGTTATCTCGCACATCCACAATGCAAAGAGTGGAATTTATTTCTAAAGTTTCTAGAATACTCCAAGCGCCCATATTACTCACGCCACAATTCTGTAGATCAATGGCTGAAATAAAAAGGTAACGATCAAACAAATACACCAAATTAAATTTTATCCTTTCAGTGTATATTTGTAAGGAATCCCTAGAGTGTCACTTGTGTTTATCCTTCACTTTTACCAATTTATTAGTTGGGACTTTTTAAATTTCTCGTATGTATACTTATTTACGAGTATTATTTGCGATGTTAAGAAAGTTCTGTAACGCTGCGAAAAATCGATTTCGAGATTTAAACAGAAATACTCGTTTTCGGTCCCTGATACCGAAAAGTGTTTTTTTTTTAATGTCCATCCGATTGTCTTATGTGAACAACCCTAGCACCTAAATTAAGCATTGATTTTTTTCCAAATTCCGGTCGATCTGGCCTCACTCAAAGGTTTGCGATTTTGAATAACATTCTTTAATGTTTGGGGGTACTTTACGTGAAGCCCCAGCGACATTTTCAAACTTTTCTCATCAATAGCTCCGAATGTTTTCTTTAAATTTCTTGCAACAATGCAGTGAAATACTCTTTTATTGGTGGTGTTAGTTCGATGTTCACTCTTAACTGTGATTAAATTTTCGAGAATTGCAACATTTTGAAAATTATTACGGCGTCTTCATACAAAATTGAAGATGAAGATCTTTCCATCAAATGATATTTGGTCTCCTTCGTTAGTTCTTTCATTACTGTCATGAACATTTTCATTGAAAATGTTAGTAGTAAAATTGTAAATAAATCACAGTTTTTACATTAATGCTGATTTGTTTACAATATTGAATTTGTGAGCAACAAGTGCAATTGTGTTATAAAGTTTATCAAAAACTCAAAAGTTCGGTGAAAATGGGCTCAAAATTCCGCATTTTCAGAAAAGTTTCAATGTCATTTTCTCGAAAACGGTTCCAATTTTTTCACCAAACTTTTTGTACATGTACTAATAGACATTCAAGTCATTCTGGTGTATTCTATTATCCCATAAATTCCTCACATGTAACTTTTTTAAATATCTCTCAAGCCTTTAATAAGCACTTTTGAAGCAATTTGTATACTTTATTGCATTTGTGAGTAAATGTGCTTCAAAAGATTTTCAAAATTAAGTTTCTCGAAAACTAAAAAGTTTTCTGTGTAAGAGCTTCAAATTTGCATTTTCAGTAACGCTTGAACGACATTTTCGTAATAACAGTTCCAAATTTAAAGAAAATTTCTAAATAGGGTGAGGGTTTAACCTTCTATAATATTCTTTAAGTAATATTTCTGTTCTACCATTAAGAAATCGAAAAAATGACAATATTTAAAAAAGAATGTCCTTGGGCGACAATAGCAGCTGGAAAGAGGATGGGGCAAGTCCGAAAAGCCAGCTCAGACCAAATAAATTAGAAAACTGACTAGTTCAAGTACGTCTGTACCATTCTTTACCACAGCTATTCAAACCATTTGCAATTATTTGTTACAGGGTTTTATACAGATGAGATATTTCAAGTGACACCCCCCGGCGTGTTCTTCATATTAGCGATAAATAATTATCAGCAATATAATTTCCGTGAAAATTATTACTTGTATTTTTTTTCCATTTATATCGCAGCCTGTTTATCAACGCAGCTTTATGCGCATTTCCAACACTTGGCTGGTTGCAAACAGCATTCGCTATGGGTTCCATAGAATTTACAGGATTCATAGGCCGTGCAACGTTGCATATAGCAAATGTATGGAATCTATAAATATATATTCTATAAGAACTTTGAGATGCAACCAATAGATACCGACAAAGTCGATAATTGAATACTACTTATTCCTTACAGCGTTTTGCATGTTCTTAGCGTGTGTTGCATTCTATAGTGTTTCTCAATACGTTCTCAGTTGAAATTTCGATTTATTTTATTACATTCATTCATTATTTTCACTTCCGTTTAATTCTTATAGTATATTAAATAGAATTAATTCTTTATATTAGCCAATGGCTTTTGAAATGAAATTAAATAATTTACCTCTCATTCTTAATTTTAAGTAATAATTTAAAATTTTTGCTGATACAATTAATAATGAACTACTATTCAAATATGTTTTAAATACTAAGTAATAATTAATTGGCTATCGAAACAATTAAGTAGTACACATTAATACAAATGCTCTAAAATATGACATGAGTTTTCAAACAAACAAACAAAAAATTAAGAGGATAATCATTTAAATTATTCACATTTTATTTCAAATACTGGTATCAATACTAGAACTTTCAAGGAAACGTTTTCTTCATTGGTTCATCATTAAATTTTGTAATCTTCATTGGTTCTCGATTTATTGAAAAGAAACAGTTTCACAACTGAAAATTATTCTTTATGACAAACTAAGTTTCAGCATTGTGATGCAAACTAAATTCACTGGTGATTCTACGAAGGGTTAAGTGTGAGTTGAACTATTCTTTTACGAATCTTTTAAATATAGCATAACTGATAAACTATTGTTTTCATTCATTGCACTCATTTTCCAGTACAGATACAATCCGGTTTAAGTGTATCATGTACAAAGGTGTCTGTTCTCAAAAGGTGTTGAATGTTACACGTAAGCATGGGATAAAAATTGATTGACATTTGTGCTAGGTGATAAATCTATGTAAAAACGAAGACAAAATATTACAGCAAAAATTATCATATTTTTATAACCAAATTTAATCCTTGCTTCTCATCATAATACACGCAAAAATAATTTATGAATACAGAATTCACTGATCTTCAACATAATCAAATACATCTAAAACGCACGCAACACAAGTAAAATTCGTAAACCCCACTAAAGCACTTACTTAACGGTGGGAACATATTTTCATGCAATACTGATATGTAAAATTACAATACACGTAAAAATCACGTTCATCAAGTGTCAGTATCAACAGCTCACTATCAGAAATCCACACAATTACTTTGCATTGCCAGAAGACATTAAACAATTGAAGTCGGTTCACAAATTTAAGTTAAAAGTAATATATATTCTGCATGCATAACTATCTATAAATAAAAGATTGTACTGATTATCAAAAAGAAAATGTTTATTTTAAGAAAACAGTGACTTATATATTGAATTAGTTTACATTTGTATTGTATAAAGTTTTAAAAAAAGTTTTAATATGTTTGTAACAAATAATGTACTTTAGCTTCCGGGTCAATGATCCCCATGTCGATCAGGTTTTTGTCCAGTTTTCCTGATCGATTGAGCAAACGCTGAGATGGCCCCTTGTTTTGCTTCTGGACGTAATTGTAAATGTAGCTTCACTATGCGCACGTTTTGTTGAACTCTCCTTTTGCTTGTAATGGTAGGAGTAGAGGTAAGGGCGAGTTACTATTTTCTTAGCAATGCAAAAAAATCATACTTGCAATTCGTTTACAGATGCAAATAAGTTTTCTATAATTCGGAAACGAAAAATTACTATTTTTTTCAAATATTGCTAATCTTGCGATTTTTTAAAATTTATTTTTATTTATTTATTTTAAACTGTTACGCATCTTTCAAATATTTATTGTTAAAATGACGGGAAGGGATTCTGGAACTCAAGACAACCTGCGCTGATAATCTTCTCCTCTATACGCCACACACAGTTTTTAGAGTGTTTTAACTAAATAAATCTAAATCTAAATCTAGCACAACACACGGACGCCCGGTACCACCAATAACCTCGAACATTAGTAAACAGCTTTTTGAAGCAGTGCGCAGAGCCGCCATGTTGTGCTTATTTGTTGTTTTTGCATATATATATATATATATATATATATATATATATATATATATATATATATATATATAGTCATTGATGGCATGCATATGATGCCAGTTGACGGCAAAACATCTGTCCGTCTGTATGTGAACACAGGTAGCAGCTAAACCGTAAGAAATATTTTCACCAAAATTATTCCTCAATCGATCTGGCTACTGTCGCGGCCCCTTGAATTTGAAACCAATGTTTTAATTTTGGGGTGTATGTTACATTAAGACCGTGACTATTCAAAATTTCAAAAAAAAAAAAAAAGGTCCAATTTTTTTTATTAAATTTTGTCCTCGGATAACGTAGAGAATTTAAGAGCTTAAGAGAATGGTACAGGTTTCATTTTCATTGAAATAACTGATTTTTCGAAAATTGTGAATGTTCATATTATTTTCGCCGTCTTCCTATCATACAATATTGAAGATTCGCTGTTGTAGCACCTATAGTTTCCGTAACGAAATTTGTTCTTGAGAAACAGATCTTCAAATGAGATCATTTTCAATTTTTCGAAAACGTGGAGTTTTTGCGTATTTTTGTTAAATGTTATAAAAATCATTCTTTAAATAGGTCATGTATTTTTTTTAAAAATGACAAATTTCGCGTAATTTTGCAATTTTCGAATTTCCCGGGCTCCGTTTGCTAGTGTAAAATTGTGCGCACGTCGCGCCGAGAATTCTTCGTCATTGTGGGAGATTCTGAGTATCACTTCTCATTGTTGGGAAATGTTATAGCTATATGAAATTCATTTAACTGTTGAATTTTAATTGATATATTAGCTTCGTACGAGTTTGTTTTTGCCCCTATATTGCCAGAAATTGCAGTATACTGCATAACTGTTAATACGGGCGACAAAGAATGTGCTGTTGTGACACCCCTACTGAAAATATGAATAGTTTTCGCATACTTTTGCATGAAATGAAGGCAATTTTTAAACCAAGATGCAAGTCTAAAAAACCTCTCCATTTTTTCTTTAAACTTTTGTAATGATAGGGCTAAATACAGAGTATAACAAACTCTATTTAAATGTAAATGTGTAATTTTTCAAACGTTATGCAAATGTAATTTTTTTATATTATCTCTCGCGTCGCGTTAATATTTATCGTGGGCATTTTCTATACATTCTGCATTTGTGACTACAAGTTCTTAAGGGCTCAAAATTGCTTGTGTTGCTAAAATTATTTCTTATGAGTTCAAAATTGAGCATTTTCACTAACGCTCAAATAACATTGTCTCACAAACGGCTTTTTAGGAACCGATAGGTGACAGTTGGTAAGAGGGTAGGGACTATCGAAAAAACCTGGACTAAAGGGATTAGGAAACTAATGAGAGAAACTTTGTGCCATTTGCAGTACCACTGGTTTTTAAATCAGTTTGATGCATGACTGAGGGACAATTCCCTTTCTTGTAGTAACACACTTACAGGGTTTTGCCGCAATTATTTCTTGGATAGGTACAAAAATCATCTTTTCTTAGTGATTTACAAGTGGGGGCTGCTGCCTAATGCACTGATGAACTTTCAGTAAGAAATAAGCAAAATTAATTTCAAATGTTGCACCTCTTATCCAGAAATCTTCCTTTAAAATGTCGGTGAGTGTGTTGACACCTTCATCTCCAAGATGCACGTTATTATTTAAAATAATTCTCCTTAAGCCAGGCATCGATTCTATATTTGGCTCACGATATCGCAAAGACTGCTTCCAACTTTCGGCAAAGCGTTGAAGAGACTGATACTAAAAAACACAACAGAAATGATTAGATTTTTCTAAACAGACTTGAACCAAATATTTATTATAATGGAAGAAATTTCTGTAGTCAATATTTTTTGTTTAATTCGTTTTCATTGTACCTTCAATGTTTCCGATAGTGAAACAGCACTTCCAGGTTTTAAATCACAATTTGAAAGGTCCAAATGTAGAACTGAAGGCATGTTCCTAACCAAAAGGCATAGTTGTTTACACCCTTCATCCCCAATGGGGCTGTTACAAAAAGAAATTGTTTGTAGTGACGTATTAGCTGATATACCCTGAAAATATGATTCAAATGTAATTATATTTCTTCTGGATAATAATTAGATCATCAATAAAATGTGTGAAATATTACTTTGCAAAGAATAAACATATATTCTTTTGTCAATGGGAGCCCATCAAGTTCAATGCATGTAACTGATGTTGATTCAGCCAAACATTGTGCGAGAGAATCCATTAGTAGATGGAATATAAATTTGGACAAAAATACAGGGCGTTTAGTAACTGCACGTGCTTTTGCTTCTGTGTCAACATCTTCCAGAACTGAAAACAAAAGTAAAGTTGAGTTATTTAATGCAGAGCCAGATGTGTTTTGTAGTAGTAACAGAAGCAGATCCAGGACGTATTTCAGTGATTTTCAATATTTCAGTTTGAATTAATATTACTAGGGAAGAGCAGAATATCTCAAGTACCTCGAAACTATTGACTCAATTAACAGTTTAAGAGTTAACTATGAGAAATTAAAGTAAATGTTCAATACTCTAAAGGTGTGGGTGTAAGTACATTCAACATCTTTAAAAGTTGTTTGGGAACAAGTTTAAATGTCAATAAATATTTTAGTTGTGTCGAAAAATAAAGTGACACCAAAAGACTCTATTAATGATGCTGGCATAATTTTCGTATTTAAATATTTATTTTTTAAGGCATACCACAGGTAGGGCATGTGTGCATCTGTCCTGGTTAACAGATGGTTAGGAAAATAACTCCCTTTTTCTAATGTGAATTTCTTCTTGAAATTATGCCTGCTCAGGTTTAATAGGAATATTACTTTGGAATGCAATACAATTAATGTGTGGTAAACATTATGAAAATATTAAGTAAAATTACAAATCATTGTTGGACTGTTTGGAGTGGGTTTAGCCCCCTAGATATGACACTTTTTATGTTACAATGTGAAAAGAATTTCGTCACTTATAAAATAATTGTCTTATATTCTCTCATAATGAAATAGGATATAATATACAACCACAAGACCTGATAAATCAAATAGTGATATGAAAATGTTTTATGATGGTACAAGAAACTACTGCGTAAAGGTTTCAGAGGAACTATTCAGAAAATTTAATTAGGGATGGTTTTTAATTTATTTTAACAAATAACTTCTTATTTCTAGATGTAATACCTGATTTAACTGGGTATCTACAACGAAATGCAATGAAATGAAGGTTTCTATCGTGCCTCAGTGCTTCTATAATTGGTGCCCATTCATCCATTTTCAGTCTGTCACCACAAACATCTAACATGTTCTTTCCAGCACGTGCTTTCACTCCAGCATTCGGTGCAATATTTCGAAGTTTGCAGAGATCTGCATAGCATTGGTGAAAAAATGGAGCATTTCTCCTCCTTTCACTCCTTGTAGGTAGCATTTTGTCTGAAGAAAAAATAAAACAGGGGGTATATTTTTGCCGAGATATCTTCTCACAACTGAAACTCTCAATTCACGCACAATAACATAATTGTGAAAAACGTGCCCTGAAAAACACTGTTGAAACATGCCATCTCTTGTTCAGGATTGTAGTGCTATATCATTTATAATCTTCAAAAGATCTTCTTTGCACTAATGCATGTTTGATTGATATTCTTGCCTTGATGTTAAATAGTTACAATTTTGTAGTGATCCATCTTAAGTTTTAAACAACAGAGATTATTCATTTTAGAACGTGACTTTGTGAACCTGTTCATGAAAGTTTACTCAGCTGAGCATGTTTTTGATTTTCTTCGCTAATTATCACCATAAATCACAAATATCTTAATCAATCTTCTAAACATCTGCTCATCGACAACTTTTTTGTCATTACGTCAAAGGTGTTTAAAATTATGAAATCTTATTCTCAGCGAATGGTAATGAAATCCAAATACCATTTGGAACGACGGGACTCGAGATGGCACTGTTACTCTCATCAGGGTTGCCAACAATTCGCGGATTACGACGGCAATGTTTCCCTGCGTGGAAATTGCTCACAAATTGTTGTCTTTTTGACTTAATGTTTTGGAGCCTCGGTACCAGAAAATTTGTGAAACAGTCTTAGCTAGACAAAGAAAGCGATTGAACCAGAATCAGGTTCTTCACTGAAGGAATTGAAAATTTATTTTCGCAATTTGAACGAAGAATAAACAAAGTAATAAAACATAGATACACAGAATCTGGACTAAACGTGTTTTAAATATTACGTATTCTCTACACGCATTTCGATCGAATTGACAATTACGCGCACATACTGGAGTTGGAACATAGGTGCTGGTTTTATTGAAAAAGCTTAAAAAATGGCGGGAACATTGCGACTACAGATTTTCTACCTTGTTGGTGCGATTAATATTTTTCAGAAGAGGTTTTTGTAATAATCTGTAAATCACATGTAAACATCAGGAAATGAAATGTCAAATCTATTAAAATAAAATAAGACACTTTGAAATGCATCTCATTGAATGAAGAGCTGAGAGTCGATAAATGAATTGAAACAACTTTTTTAACAGTTTCTGAATTTCTGTTTTCCTATTGAACCTTTTGTATTAGTTAAATGTCAATGTTGAGTAGCAACATCATCGAATTTATTTTTTAAGAATTGTTATTTATAATTAACAGAGATAGAATCGTATTATGTCGCTTACAAAGGTACTGTATATCACATACAAACCACTGATCTCTTACAAACCTGAAGATGTGCTAAAGCAGCAACTTCCAGTTGTACGCTTACTACTGGCAACCATAATGTCCCAGGCTTACTTCGGTGACACCCAGTAGATTCAAAAACTGTTTGCGAAGTTCTGCCCAGACGTGAACGATGACCTAATAAAGTATAATTCATATAAAATGTGTCCCCCACTGAAAATAGAAATCGAATGTTGAATCAAAGTTATCAAAAGTGGGGATAATGACCATAGGACAACTCAAGATGAAATATATTAGCTACAATTTATATTTTCTACATAAAATACTTTGCAATATCTATATAAATTGTAGTGTCAGCCGAATACCAACTCAGTAGCTGTGAAAATAAAAAAGTCTCCAAAAAAGCCTAAACTACTTCGAAAATTAAATTGAAAGAAGAGTGAACTAAAAAGATAGCAGTTCCCTGCACACTACTACTACTACTATTGCCTCCCAACCGTTCAACACTATCTACATTAATTTCTATTGTCATAAACGCAATACTACCTCATTCTTCCAACAATAAATTATTGTGTTGGGGAAACAAATGCTACGAAATACTCGTTTGAAGGGTCTTCGACACCTTTCTACAAAAAACAATTGTTTTGCAACCGGACGGTATTCTCGGTTCAGAACTTGGGACATAGATGCTGAAGGCTCAGTGATTTGAAGGCACAGTGCAAATATTACGAAGATATTGTAACAGGTCCCTGTTAACACACAGACCGGAAGAGCCCTGGCCCATGGCCCCTAATGTTCAAGAGCCCTGGATAGTTCTTAAAAAATATTTAATACTAAATCTGTCAAAAAATAAAATAAAAAACGTATAAAAGGTTACGTATGTTTAAACTATACGCAAAAATTGACATAACAGAGTGATGAGTCACGCATTATTGGATAATATTTATGATATGGAATGTTGAGGTTGATGCAAGGATGTCACATAATGACGAGAAGTTAAGTTTTCTAACAAACTCGTCTTTAAATTGGGGGCGAGGGGTTGAGATCGTTGAAAGTAAGAATAGGCGTAGAAATTAGCGTAGCCCCAAGGGCCCGCAAAGCAACGTAGGCCCAAGGGCCACTAAAGCGGTTAAAACGCATTGTAATATTGAGGTATTACTGTCATTAAACAGGAGCGGGTCTAGATACACATTTTGGGAGGGGAAATTCAAAATGTTTTGGTCGAATGTGGCAATACAGATTTTGTAAAATGTCGCAGGCTACAGTCAGCTCATGCTGCGATACCATTTTATTCCTTTTAATGACTATCCGAAAATATTTTTGCTTGAAAGTTTCGTGACAATTAAAATTAATAGTCACAGAAAACAATTAGAGGGGGGATTTACCTCATTTTTCTCTCCGTGGATCCGCGTCTGCATTAACCAATTATTATAATATGCCAGTAATTGACAAAACACCATGAGTTCATGCAGAAATCTATGCAGTCTTCGGCCACGTAAGAGATTATGTCAAGTACTGAGGAACTTGGGGCAAATCCGAAAACAATGAACTAATTCCGATTTCGACTGAAGAACGCAAGTATTTGTGCAATACCGCTTATTCTCATACGGCGCGTGCCGAAGAATTTCTCATATTGCTTACGTCGCAGTTGACGTCAAGCGACGGCAAGGTTCCAAGGAAGAGACCGCCAACCATCTTCAGGAACTGCAACGTTTTTGATATTCTCGGTAAGTAAAGAACTGTTGTACTGTTCTATATTATACAACGCTATCGTAGTATTCGTGAAGATTGGTTTTACTTTCTCGCCCTTAAGTAACAAGAGAAAGTGTTGTAAACATACGCAGGGGAACGGCGAATTTTTGACACAAACATTCTTGTTTCAGGGCCTTGGTAGCAACAAATAGGTACATCTTTTTCACATATGTGGTAAATTACTTCTAACTTATGTAGTCAGAACCCATGTTTTGTGTGTCCTTGATACCGAAAAATCGATTGACAGCAAAACATCTGTGCGTCTGTCTGTGGTCGACGTTAGCGCCTAAACCGTTCCGCCGATTTCCTCCAAAACTGATACTCTCCAATTGATCTGGCGCGGACCCTTAATTTTGAAACCTATATTTTAAGTTTGGGGGACTTTACATGAAGTCTTTGAGACATTTTCAAGAAAATGCAACAATTTTTTTGGTTAAATTTTGTCGGAGAGCGTAAAGGACGCTCAAGAGAATGGTGCAGGTCCCATTTTCGCTGATTTTTTTGAAAATTGAAATAAATAGAGTTTTTGTTGGCTTCATTCAACTAAAATATAGAAGATAGAGCTTTGCTCTGAATGAAATCTGTTCTTTAAAAACAAATTTTGAAATAAGGTCATGTACAATTTTTCATAAGGTTTTGCGTAAAGTATAGCCAATTTTTAATTTTTTCTTCAAAGAAAAAGACATCACATTTTTTCATTAAATTTTGACCACTGATAACGTAAAGGACGCTTAAGCAAATGGTGTATGTCTCACGTTCGTGTACATAGATTAGAAAACTAACTAGGGCGAGAAAGTCTGTGCCTTTCTGTAGAACCACTAGTTTATTTATTATTTATGTATTTATACAGCTAATTTTCTACAACAATTTTTTTTGGGGGGGGGGGGAAATATCTTCAATTTTGTGGTCTTGAAATTCTTTTGTAATTTTCGAAAAAAACAAAAAAAACGGCAACACCCGAAAATTGTACTACTTGTTGCACCATCTTTCTTACGGTTCATTATTACATATGTGGAGAAAATTTAAAGAAAAAATTTGGAGCGGTTTTCGAGCAATTTTTTTCGTACATTTCAAGAGCAAATTATGCAAAAACTACTCGTTTTTTCAAATAATCGAAAATAGCATTTAAAGAGGTTGTTTTGTACAACAGACTTTTCCTGAAACAAAAACCTCAATCTTCAAATTTGTTATTTTAAAATGGTTTTTGAAGTTTTCGAAAAAACAACGAGCAATGCCCAAAAATGGGACTAGAACCATATTTCTTGCAGTCCCTTATTACATATTACAAAGTAAAAAAGAAAATTATAAATCACGTATTATAATAATCGTAAACTTATTATAATGCGCTTAAAGTTAGCGTTTTTATTCGATATGATTTGCACATATCTTTGGAAACTTTTGTAGCGTAATTTGCAACAAATATACACATTTATTCGCATGTACACAAGAAAGGACAAGCTAGAAGTGAGTAATATGTAAGTGCTGTATCTAGAAATTTGTTTGTAATAGAATTCGTTCAGTTACTATTTCATTTTTTCATTATTTTAACTTTTCAAAAATAAACGTACAATGTTGGAACCGTTTTTGAAGACGAGTTGGCAGCAAAATAAAACGTTTTATCGGGCTTTGTTGCTACCTTTCTCTCTTGCGACAATGACGTTTGAGGCATTGTCATTTTGGAAAATGGCAACACAGTGATATCAAAATTCTTCGAATGCATCTCATGGTTCACATGAATGCATCACATGAATGCATCACAAGATTCATCCCGTGGATGTGAGTCGTGATGATTGTATGATGTATTGTGCGGGCACCGTATCATACAAAACTAAAAGGTTAAACTCTTGATAATTTCCACCAAATATAACTGTTACATAAGATAAAATTAGGAAGCAGATTAATTAAAAAACATGTAACAGTTAATTGTGTATTAAAGAAAATGACAAATCATTAAAAATATAGTAGTAAAATTATTATAATATTGTTATACATGGGTTTTTATTTCTTGGTGCGTGCGGGCCTATGATCGCAATGGAATATCTCACGGCATTTCGCGTGTCTCTCAATCGTGCCGCTAGATGTCGCATGATTGCATGATTGCGACCGAGCAGTGCTGGCGATCATACGCAGCAGCACGATTGAGAGACGTACGAAATACCGCGAGATCGTGCAGACAGGCCCTCAAGCGCCAAAAAATAAAAACTCAAGTATAAACTTTCTTACTTTTATTCGACAAGAGGTGTGCTAATTTCCCACCAATCTGCACATTTATTTGAATGTACACGTGGTAAAAGGACAAGCAAGAAGTGAGAAATATTTCACTATCATGTAAACAAATGTAATACCTAGCATTAGTTAATTCATTATAGGAATCTGAATTTTGCTATCGCAAAAGTCACGTACGTTACTTTTAGTAAGTTGGAACAGTTTTGAATGTAAGTTGGCAGCAAAATTAACCATGCATTCACAATGTGCGACACGTCATGTAACACGTCAAAAAATTTAGAAAAACAACAAAAGAATGCAACAATTTGGCGTCGATGTCATTTTATAGAGTGCAATTGGCACTATACATACCGAAAGTTGAAAGAAAACATTTGGAGCCGTTTTTGAGAAAATTTTGTTTTTATAACTTTCTTTCGTTTCTTGTATTGCTCGCAATATTGCACGAAAACTACTAAAATGTTCAAAAAAATGTACATGACTTTAATGAAAGAAATAACTATGCAGAACAACCATTATTTGATGGAAAAATCTATATTTTTAATTTTGTAGCTGTGGGAAGACGCTGAAAAATTCGAACTATTGAAAATTTCGAATTAACCCTGGAAATATAACCTATGCTACTTTTATAAGTGTGTTTAATTCTATTCTTACAAGAAATTTAATGAATACATTTGGTGCGTGTTGGGGGAATTTTTGAAAATGTCCCAGGGGCTTCATGTAAAGTACCTCCAAATTTTAAAGAATGCTTTGAAAATCTCAAAAGCTTTGACACCGCCAGATGGACAGGGTTTTCGTCAACTTGTACAAAATCCTACATATGATTTAGGCGCTAGTCGTGGTCACAGACGGACAGAGACAGACGGGCGGATGTACGTAATTTTTGGAATGAAAAAAAAAAATCGGTATATGGGGGCGCCAAAACGTATATTTCCGCCGAAATCTCGAAATCGAGCTTCGGCTGCATGACGTAATTTTCCCCGTACTACGTATACTGGAAAGCAACTAGAGGTGCTGCAAAATGGCACAAGCTTTCTCATATTAGTTTTCTAATATCTGTGGTTCGCTATTCGGACTTAAACTCTTGTCAGATGCCATCTATCGCTGCCCAAAGTAGTTTTTTTTTCTCAGTTTTTTGGTTTACTAATTGTAGAACCGAAATATTACTGTAAGAAAATTAAAGAAGAGTACAATCTCGTTTTAAAAGGCA